CTACGGGTTCTGCTGGCGAGCTCAGAGCCCTGCCTGCGAAACCGAGACCCCTTTGGTGAAGAAGTCTTCCGGTCTGTGACTGCATGCAATGTGAAAGACGTCTCCAGTGGCAGGCTGCATGCTTGTGTGTTGCAAAGCACATGCACTCCATCATCTGCCTGCTGCCCGCTGCTGCTCTATATAGACAGGTGTTCGCAAGCAGGGCTACAGCAGCTCGCTTTGTGCAGAGCATCTGTGCTATATCCGGCCGTGCAATGGCAGCTGCTTTCCTTCGACAGCTGAACCAGCTCCTCCAGACCCAGCAGCCCATCATGGGAGATCAATGGACTTCTCTCTTGGCTGCTCAGAGCGAGGTCGCCATCAGAACGATTCGTCAAAGCCACATCACAGTCGAGGAGGGTGCAGAGATCTGCAGCTTGGTGCAGCAGGGCCTTTGGTCACACGAGCAGAAGCAGGCCCTGGGTGCAGCCGTCTCCCAGACCTTGGCAGGCAGCACTCCAGCAAATGCCAAGGCCAAGAAGAAGAACCAGGAAATTCTCAACTTCTGGGGTTTCTTGGGCGCCGAGGACCGGAGAGTTTTGTCCAGCGACGACACCCTCGTCATGAGGCTGACTCACACTGCTCAGATAATGGCTCGACTGGAGATGTTCTGGCCATCAGAACAGTCTGTGGGACACATCATCAAGACCCTGCAGAGTTGCAACAATACTGGCTTGCAGAGCCCCGACGAGTTCCATTCGGCTGTCGTGTGCCTCAAGAAGAAGGTGAAGACCATGCTCAAAGATGCTTCCTGTGGCGAGTTCGTCGCCAAGTACACTCGGCCTGAGGATCTTCCACCACACACCCGAGATCGCTTCGCAGATGCCTTGGGAGGTGAGCTGCCTGGAACAATGGTGCTGGCCCGTGATGCTCTTCGTGGCAGTAACAAAAGCCTCTCTTTCCACAAGAGCAACACTGCCATGGTGCTGGGTGGTCCAGCAGCAGGCCCGGCAATGCACATGCCCCACACCATGCAGGGTATGATGCAGTTCTGGGGCAGCATGGCAGCTAACATGTTCAACCAGCAGCAGCAATTGGCGAAGAAGAACGATGGATTGCCTGGGTTGAAAATCTTCGGCGACCCAGCTGCTGCCGCCTCGTCTGGGACGATGGCCTCCTCGCCTGCTCAACAGCAGGCCTTGCAGCTTCCTGCAGTTACCAATGAACCGGCACAGGGCAGCGGAACAAAGCAGGCCGAGCAACAGGGAGTGCTGGCCAGCAAGGATCCTGTCAGTGCTGCACAACATGCAGATGAAATGCTTCAAGCTTGGAAGGGCGACAACAAAGGGTTCGACAGCACCGTCGAGGCCGAGGCCAAGGAAAACGAGGCGAAGCACAAGGCAAATAAGAAGCCCAAGGCTGCAGCCAAGGCCAAGGGTAAAGCCAAGGCCAAGGCTAAGGCGAAGGCCATGTGCACGGCCATGAAGTCCCAGCCCAAAGCAAAGTCGCAGCCCAAGGCGAAGGCCAAGGCTGCTTGCAAGGCGAAGGCGGAGTCGCAGCCGAAGAAGGTCCAGAAGGCTTTGCAGAAGTTCACTCGAGAAGAGGTCCGATGCATGACTTTGTCGGCTCGCATCAAGCTGCGACCCAATGGGTGTGCCAAGTGCCGGGAAAAGCCCGGCTGCACACCGTCGTGCTTTGGCCCGTGATTGCATCAACAGCTGCTGAAAGCATGCACAGCTGGAGTCCTATATAGGGTGAGAGTTTGGAGGCTACAGGCAGAGTGTATACATCTTAAGTCTATATGCATGTTGACGTGTTTTGGTGTCTTCCAGCATCAGCAAAGTTTTGTTCGCGAGCCTCCAGGAAGCATGCACCTTATTATTCATCTTTCACAAAGGCTGTGTGTACATTAAAGGCATTGTACCTCGGGAGGTATAATGTTGGGAGCATCGCTTGCCACGGAGGGAAAGACCGAAGCGATCCTGGCAGGTGTCAAAAGCGGTGGTGCAGGATGCCTGCACGATCCGGGTTTTTGTTTCGTGGCATATTATATATGTGTTATATACATATATATATAGATATACTTTACATATGGGATGTATATATATATATATATATAGGAGCCTATATATACTATATATATATATATATGGGTTGAATATATATTGATATATATATATATATACACACACATATATTATACAGGGGTGTCCTTTTAGGAGGGTGCGAATGTGGACCCTTCTTCGAGAGCTATGTTGAAGCTTTCGAGTTGTACATGTATATATTATATATGGCTTTGCGATTTATTAAGATGTGTCTCAGGATCACGTTTGGTGTTAGGTTAGGTTTGGTGTGGTATATACTATATATATAACTGTATATACATGTATATATATGTGTACAAATCAATACTCGGATGCTATATATCTATAGCTTTCGGGTTTCTGTGTATACATATATATATATCAAATATTTAGTTTCGGGTTTATGGTTAAAGGTTGTCTTGGCCTTGCACTGGAGTTTCCCGGACTGCTCGCAGTGGGGTTGCACCGTTGCAGCAATATGCTTGGAAACCTGCAGGAACAAAGAGCATGCATATATACATGTAAACAAAACATATCTCTGTATATATATATATAGATATATAAGGTACGTACACAGTGCCTGCATGCTTCCATCCACTTTTCCTATATATAGTATACCTTTTATACAGATATACATATATATATATATATGTATGAATCTGCAGTCAAAGTAGTGGGTCGCTCGGCAGGGCCAAGAGCTCGCCAGCAGACCCCATGGCCGGGCCCGCTTCAGTGTTCGGCGACTCGTCCCAGATGGCAACTCGGGCAGCTGTTTGAGTTCCTGCAAGACCTGACTGAGACCTCGCTGGGATACATATGATTTCCTTCCCAAGCAGGAGAGCGAGGAGCTCCCGGCGGGATGAGAAGACTCGGAGCTACCAAACTGCTTATGGCGAGATCCTATGCGACTTCAAGTGTGTTGCCGAAACTGGTGTGGAGTTTGAATTTCCTGTCTTGAACCCAGCTGCAATGCTTGCCTGGGCGACAGAGGGATGTCGACCATTTGGCGAGTTCCTGGAGAAGGCCACGGATGCCACACCCCCCAGCATTCTTCAACCATGGGGATTGGTGTGGTATTCCGACGAGCTGGCTCCGGGCAACCAACTCAATGTTGTTGTGGGATTACAACACCCTCTCAAAGCACTCGAAAGCTTCAAAAAATCCCTTCTTCAGCATCCGTCGGATCCGACGAAGCTTGAATACACCCTTAAAGCACACTCAAAAGCTCCGAATTGGTGGCCCGGGAGCAGCCCATGTGGAGATGCTTCAGCGTGAAGTGCGGACTCTCCACATCGTACAGCCAGATCCGCCCTCTCCAAGGTCAGTCCCTGGACAGAAGCGTAGGTGATGGCGCTGCATAGTGTGCTTCAGGCCTGCGAAGGACTGGCCGCTCTCCAGGCGGACCACCCCAAGCACTCCAACAGGAGAAAGGTCCAGGCTGTATATTGGAGCCTGCTCCCTTTGGGACAGCATGCAATGGGTTGCGAAAATGGCTGGTTCACTCTCTGTGCCATTCGCAGCTCTCTGGACTGTGCTCTTCAGGCAGCTAGCAGCCTTGTTCTTTGAGAGACCTGACTTCAGAAAAGGTCTTGTGTTGCAGTGCCCTGGACAAGCACGTATGCTCTTTGCCGACTTGAAGATCATTATATCCGACGAAGCTGCAATTAAGGCTACCCTTTTTAATAAAGGAGCCAGTGGGCTCATATTCTGTGTTCAATGCCAAAACGCCGTGGACCACAAAAGCAGCATTGCTGAAAGGAGTTGGGCAATATGGTGTCCGGCCTGGAAACCGACATGAGTTGCTTTCGGATGCACACACCCGAGTGTATACGAGACACCATGGACTTCTTGCGAAGGTAAGAGACGGTCCTGAACAAAGACAGATTCCTGCAACTCCAAACAGCAATGGGGTTCAATTTCAAAGAGGATGGATTGCTGGCACATGCAGCATACGGGCCTCCGGTCATCGAGTGTGTGATGTTCGATTACTTCCATATCTATTGGGTCAATGGCATCTTCAATGTTCTGACGGGGTTTTTTCTTGGAGAGCTTCACAACCATGGCTGGAAGCACAATGACATTGATCGCTTCGCAAATGGTTTTACCTGGCCTTCTTGTTTGCGAGGTGCTGCTGCAAAGGATATCTTGCAGAAGGGAAAGCCAAGCGAAACCTTGAAGTGTGGAGCCAGCATGCAGCTGCTGCGACTCTATGTGCTAGTCTTTAATTGCAGCAGAGATATCCGGGACTCTTGCGAGGTTTGGTTGGCTTTGGCTTTGCAAGCGATCAATGCCAAATTACGAACACCCCCGCCCCTCCAAGTAGGGTTCAGGGCTTCGAAGATGTATGTTCTAAGGTTTAGGGGTTACGGTTAGGGTTGAGGGTGGGGCCTTCGAGTACTCTTCGACCCAGGCAAAGCACGTGTGCTGTCCACAGCCTCCCATACAGGCAGCCAAGAGCTTCTCGATCGGACTGTCCTGTGTCAGGCGAAGGTTTAGGCGGTTTGGTTTAGGGTTAAGGGTTCACGTCAAGGTTTTGAGGGTGTTCCGGGTGAAAGGGTGTAGCCCCGCAGTCCGCAAACCCCGGGTGAAGGGGTGAAGCCCCGCAGCCCGCAAACCCCGGGTGAAGGGTGAAGCCCCGCAGCCCGCAACCCTCGGGTGAAGGGGTGAAGCCCCGCAGCCCGGGGTGGGGGCCCCCCGGGGGCCACCCACCATGGAGTGAAGGCCCCTTCCCCCGTCCTCCCACACTACGGGACAATCTGTGTAATCCGCAATTTGAGCCAACGCGAGCCTCTTCTGCCTCTGAACGGCCGCCTGAACCCGCTTTCAAGAGCTGGCTTGAAGCGACAGTGAGGGCTGGAGCAGTAGCAACTCTTGCAACAGGCGCCGGCGGAGTCTCAGCCTGAAGACCTCGCTACTTTGGAGGCTGAAGCCGGCGAATCAGCCAAACGTCGCAGGACTGACAAGCAAGTTAGCCTGACTGCCGCCCTGCAAAAGTACAAGACCAAGAAGGAGGACTTGATGCTTCGTCCGAAGAGCCGCTGCTGGCCGCCTGATAGAAAAAGAGCGGGAGGCTGAAAAACGCTTCGAGAAGCTGAAGATCGGCGTGGCCAGACTTTCAGCCGTGCGGTCTGAAGTCCTTGCGGCCGACCGCGACCGTTTGATCATGGTGGTGCATGGCCATGACTCCAGCAAGACACCGGACCTGCCTGATCTTGAACGACTGGGCAATTGCTCGTGCTTGGCCTGAGTCGATCGAAGACCAAAGAAATTTGGTTTACGATCTGCTTCGTCATACATCTGAGGACTGCGGCAGTCATCGACTCCTCTACTGGTCTGCTGGTCTGACGAGGTCGAGCGTGACTTCATCTTCAAGCCGTCTGAGAGTGCTTTCTCGGCTGATGCTCGCCACTTGGGAGGCGGTTTTTGCGGTCGACAATGGGTGCAGGCATGCATGGATGAGGGCCGTCTCTTGCCAGCCTTGACATGTCTGAAAAGCAGCTTGACGACGACACAGGAGCTGTGCTTGCATAGCTCCTGTATGTCTGACGACTCTGCTTTGCCCGCCACTCGGATGCTGGGTGCTGTTCTCGATGCCGCGGAGAGGGCTGACATTACAATTTCATGGACACGTCGCAAGAGATGGCGAGATGTTACCTGCAAGAAGTGTTCTGTCATAGTCGACGGTGAGACGGCTGAGAAGTGCAGGAAGAAGAAGCAGAGGCATCCGGGCTGTCTGATGACAGTGGCGGAGTTCATCGCTGCCAGCAACACGGCTCTTTTTTCGTCGGTATTCGCACACAAGCTATAGGTCATGACTTTGCACATGTACATGCAGTTCTCTACTCAGGCACGAAGTGGACTGACACCTGATACCGCCCGATGCTGCCTGAACGACTGAGCAACGATGCCAAGGCCATATTTTCATCTTGTCCAATCTAACTTGATACTTGTCTTGGTCAGGCACTTCCACACAGCCATCGAGTGCTTGACAAGTGGTCGGCGTGCACCGGCTCCGACTGATTCGTCAGGAACCTTGCTGCAATTGTTATTTCTCTTGATTCCTGCCCTTACGTTCTCAGTGATCCTAGGTACCAAAGATGTGTGGTTTGCTGCGACAGCAATGCCGCCGAGTCGCACTGCTGTCCCTTTGCTGTGGGTTCCCTTCTTGCTCTCTTTCTGAATGAATCCTAGGCAGTCGTGCTCTGCCTACACGGCCTGAAAGCCAGGGGTGGGGCTGCCTTGAGCGCCTCGGGGATGTTTCCTGAAGTGAAGCAGTCCGAATTTCACGTCTGATATCCATCCTGCACTGGCGACAACATTATCCTCAAACACATCTTTCTATGTGATCTCGGCTGCTTCCACGGAAACTCGCTTGTAGATGACTGATGAGATTGGGGTGGAGCCGGGGAGACGAAAAAGTTCCGTCGCAGATCTGTCTGAGAAGTTGTGCTTGCATCGGCTTTGCCACTTTCCTGCTTGGCTGCGGCGCCTTCCGACCGCTGAGGTTTGACCCCGGCGGCAGAGTGAGTGCCGAAGCCTGAAGCCTGAAGCATCGAAGCCACAACACAACATCGCCTGACAAATCACAAGCTAAAGCCTGAAGCATCGAAGCCACAACACAACATCATTCTCACCTGGAATCGAGCAAGTGATGCGTGGAAAGAAGTGTTGGACGTCGCCTTGATGTGCTGTAGATGCTTAGTTTCCGGTATAAAAGTTTCAACTTTTATGGCCCGGGCCTTTCAGCCAGTAAGTAGTAGCACTTCTTTCATGGTGTAGTTCGTAGATATAGTTGTCCTTCAATGGCACAGTCTTTCGATGGTACAGATTTTCCCTTGACACTATACTTGTTCCTTGCCTCCTAAAGCGGGTGGTGTATTCAGAGCGAAAACAGCCTTATACAAGGATCCTGAGAGAGACCTAATTCAGAGAACTACCCATATATGTACATACATATACTTCAAGTACATGTCCGCCCTAAACCCTGAAGTCCTATAAACCCTCGACCCTAAACCCTCAACCTTTAGACATCGACCCCAGGAACCCTAAACTCTATGTCCTGGGTTTCCATTCTCTTCACACACTCACACTCTTCAAGATTATCGTTCTCTTCACCCAAACGCAGAAAGAACGATGCCGTGCAAGTATGTGAAAGTGTTAAAAGAATGGGCAACTGCAGCACGTAAAGAGATTTTTGCTGGTTCCAATCTCTTCACACATTTCTCTGCACCCACAGACAGAAAGAACCATTCCGGCAAAGTATGTGAAGATCTTGAGAGAATGGGAGGGTGACCGCTAGATAAACCGTGAAGCCCCACCTCGCACAACTCACGAACCTTGAAAGGATAGATTTGGCCTTAGAGTAGTCCCTATTCAGGTACCCTGGGCCAACGTGTATACTGTTAGGGCACATGCATTCCTAGGATTAAGTACGCATCTTCAAAGCATCCATCTTCTCTCCAAGATCAGAAGTATCTAGGATGCATTAGGATCTGTTTGCTATCTCAAGCCCAGAAAATGTTGAATCTCACCTCATAAAAAGCTTAACTTAAACTAAAGTGCAACCAGGTCAAGATGGACACAGGTGCTGGACGACATGGAGCGCATGACCTCTAAGTTCACCCTCAAGCCACTCGGCGCACGTATCTCGTCAGGGTTTCGGGCATACTTTTACTTAGAGTTTTGGTTCTAGGTTGGGCATTTAACATAGGGGCCTAAATAGTTACCAATAGTATTGCAGGGGTTCGTTACTATAGCTTTAGCAAAATGGCCCCCAAAGCCCTGTTCTAACCATTAAGGCCCCTTTTTTTAGGCATTGGGAGAGGGTTTGGGGCAGCCTGGGGTCGGTCGCAAGACCAGTGTTATCTGAGTTTGCTAAGCAAGACACCGTGCTGCACACTCAGCCCTACCTATAGTCTCCATTGTAGTTCCTTTTTTTGGTTTAACCAATTCTATATTAGGGATCCTATAAGGTAACCCCAAAAAGGAACTACAATGGAGACTATAGGTAGATTCGTATGCCCTTACGAAATTTGATTCTTCGCAGCCTGATGAGTGCAGCTACATCCTGGAGCCACCCACCCGCCCCCTCCCGACATCCTGGCCCGCACTCTGGCCTCAGCACCACAATTAACCCTTGACTTACACCTGGCCCGAGTGTCCGTTTGAATGCTGTGACCGTCGTTAAACCCGTGACTATATGATCTTGCAGGAGGGGTATTCCGTTCATCAGGATCGACATGATCATACCTTAACCTACCAAACCCTACCTTTTTGTAGGTTCTTATTACAGACCCTAATATGGAATTTATAGGGACCCTACTTTTTTGCTGCACTGTGTGTCTAAGGCCGCGACCTGTCGACGATACTAGGGTAAAGCCCGATTCGGCGAATTATCGGAAAGGATAATCATTGATAGCACGGAATATTGCGGAACTGCGCAAGGTCAGGCACCCACTTTGTGCTCAGCTTGGAACCGTCAGGAGTAAATTGATAACAGAACAAGCCAGCTTGTAGTAAGACGAAAAGCTGATGTTGAATGTTCTTGCAGTGCGCAGATCCGTCAAATCCGCTGAGGTTTCTCATGCCAAAAGATGCTGCTGTTCGAATATGTGATGCTGGAATCAGGGAGATTGAATTGGCTTTGCAAAGCTTCACAAAGCGAGACCTGAACCGAGAGATAAGAATACTAGCGGACATACCATACGTTAACCAGCCAGGAAAGAATCCGTGAATGGACAGAAACTCGATGAGAACCGACAGCCACGTTGTTTGCGACCCGTCTGCAGTGGGACTAAAGACCCATCTGTTCTCGCTGAAAAACGATGCAAGGGCTTGAGCTGCATTATTGGGAATACGATTCCTTCCTGTAACCAAGGCATTAAAATCTAGATCCGAGTGACTATAAAAGTGAACCACATTCGGGGTGACACTGGCGAAGAAGGAGACATATCTTTGCCGCAAGCACTGCATCAAGTTGTTAGGAATGGTTTGACCGGCTCTACATAAAGCAAGTACCTTATCCTCGACCTCACCGACTAAAACCGTATGCCCGATTAGGTGACAAGCTTTGTAGCATTTGCGGGGTCGCTTACTGAAAAGACGTGTCAGCGGTTTGCATGTGCATACAGTCTGCATAGTTAAGGGTGTCATTGGAGCGTCAGCCTCGTCGAACGGCGCCAACTCGCAGACACCACTACGCTTGATGAGAGTAGTGACAAGATGAACTTGGAGTTCAACTGCTTTGTGTAAGGATGGCATATAGTCGGCGACTAGCCTAGAAGAAAGTGTTTTGGCAGTAGATTTTGCCAAAGCATCTGCTGCTTCATTGCCCTCCGTAAGCGCCGAAGGCTGTGAAGACTTGCCATCAGTATGGGCCTTTACCTTGATGAAATTAGTACTACCCTGATGGTTCCTGGCGACATGCAAGAAAAGATCCCAAAGATCAGGATTTTCAAAACAGAAAGTGCACTCCCACTGAAAACCCCGAGCTTTCAAGAACTCTGCGCGACGCAAAACACTGGCGCAATCGGACGCAATGATAATGTCACCTTCTGTTACATGGATGGCGAGAATTAAAGCAAACAGTTCGCACCTAAACGAATTAACAGAAGAGCCGCTAAAGGCAACTGACTGCTTGAACTAGATACGAAACTACAGCTACAATGCCATTTGCAGTGGACAAGGTAGGGGCCGTACTGTTACGAGGGCTGTGAGAATCTCACGAACCAGGTCGGGGTGCAGATACGAGAAACGTCGAAGCTTCAGCATCACGAATTGTACCCATTTTGCGAAAGGGTCAAGCCATGGATCATGTAAAGTTGCAAATAGCATGAAAGGACACCTCATGGAATTCCGCTTATTATGGAAAGCTTTCGCAGTAGCGGTTCTCAAACTACGTAAAGCTTTAGCGGATGGACCCTGGATTTCGGATCCATGAACCCACTTACTATGGCCATTAGCATGGACATGAACGGCTTCAGCAGTGGGGTCGAGGGGAAGCTGTGCGATTCGGGACATAGTAGATTTGGCTTTTGAAACTCGCTCATCTTGAAAACAGGGTAAACGTTTCTTGCCAAACTGATGACTAAACCCTAGCGACTTGGCACTTCTCTTAAACTACTTACAAGCTCTACCGACTTTGAGTAGAAACTGTTGTGTTTTTTTCTTCCTCCGTGTGGCAAGAATGGTCTTGTCAACATTCAAAGCTTGACCAACGCTTGTGTCAAAGTCCTCTATTGCCTGGAACGCTTCAACCAAGCCATTAATGTCGTTACTGCGGGTCCAAATTTTGGAATCGTCAAGGAAAGTGCTAAACTTGATTGATGGGCAAGCTTGCGTCATGTATGAAGAGTGCACTGCGAACATGCTATTAACCATCAGTACAGACATAGAGCAACCCTGGACAGCAGAATTTGTACATAACACCTTCTTTCCAAAAAAGGTGCCCAACTTAAAAAACTTGACTTGGTTGTGATAAAAGCCTAGCGTAGCTCTAGCAATTTGCTGTGGCAAGCCCAAACTACCCGCTATGTTCATAGCGACGTGCGGCAATACAAGGTCGAAACATTACCGCCGATCAAGAAACACCGCAACGAGCTCGTCGTATGAGGATGGATCATGTAGTTCAAGAGATAGTTCCAAATCGTTAAGATCGGCGGAACGGCCAGCCAAACCACCCAATAAGTTGATGGGACAGACCCGATTCATCCAATACCCTAGCTGCTTAAACCGAAGGGAAGACCAAGTAGAGTAAATTGCAGACGAAATACCAATACTGCGTGTGTCCTCGGGTGAAGAAACTACCGTCTTTTTTGCAATGTTGGTGACCGAAATCATGCGCAACACTTGGGGCCATGAGCCTACAGCTTCTGCGATCTGCATAGATAAACAAAACCCAATCCATCCTACCGGGGGGAGCTGAAGTAACTCTCGGGTTGTCCATCCATCCAGACCGGAAGCTTTATCTGCACTACGCTTCTGAAATAACTTGAACAGGTCATTATGATTGAGTTGGGGTAAATCAGCATCAACTTTGATAGACTCGACCCTATCCCCATATTTCGCCATAAACTGTTCCAAGGCATCAACAGGATCAACATCCGCATGATGACTGTAAATATCTTGCATATGATCTTCGATCATATTCAGCATGACGTTGGGGGAGGCGGTGAAGCTACCATCGGGAAGCTTAAAGAATTTAGGGGGACCAGATCCAAACCCTTTAAGCCAACGATGTACCTCTTTCTTATCACTCCTAGAGGAGATTTGTAGCTTCTTTTTCCAGGCTCGTAATCTATCCTCTTTATCGGATCGAAGAAGATCGTCTTCATACTTACGCATATACAACAGATTCTGATTGCAAGAATCCGAGAGTTGGGAGGGACTGGACGGGTTGATGGTGCCGGAAACCTCTAACTGGACGAGAAGAGAACAAAGGTTCCGGACAGTACGATGCAAATCCCTATGCCAGTCCTCACGGTCAGGACTTTGCCAATGCGATGCTTTAAACAATAACTCCCTCAGTAACCTTTTGCAGCGGGCGATCTTATGGGCCTTGGAGAACTTGCAAGGTTTCGATTCGTCTTGACACAATGGGACTTTGCGAAAGCCAGGAAGGCTGCCGCGCGTCGAAGGAAGTACTTGTTGGGAGATGTGGTTTAACATTTCAGTAGCGATGCGGCATGCTAGATTCCAAGTACCTTCTACATCAGATTTCGAAGCGGCCTCTAACAGCGCATCAGCGTGGAGCTCGAACACAGGTTGGCACAAAGACTCTCTACGAGCCCATTCTTCGTCAGAAGTAGGTTTTTCGGGCAAAACCCATTTTGGGTGGGGTTTCAAAACCCATACTGGTTCAGAGAGGATGTTGACGTTAAGAGAACAAAGAACCGGTGTATGTCCTGGGAAAGAACATCCCCTAACGTATCGAACAGACTGAAACAAGCAAGACGCTTTGCGATTGCTCAGAACATAATCAATACGAGTCTTACCGGAACCTAAACCGTAACCTGATTTCCACCCGGATTTCGCAAATGAAGCTTCAACAGGTAATCCCAGGGATGATTGCTGGTTTGAATACAAATCAGCCCATTCACCAGCCAACATGGCAGACTGGATTGGAGGGTAAGCGCCCGGCTCCTCTTGGAAGTCACCGCACAGAAATACAGGGAAATTGCAAAACGTGGCGGCGAGGCTGAACAGGGACTCCAAGAGTTGGACTCTATCTGAGTGTTTGCATCCCCCAGAGGGTAGATAACAATTGGCGACATAAAAACCGCCACCTTGACATGAACACCAAAGCAACTGGACGTGAGGGTAAAGAACCTTCCACCCATCGGGAATGGGCACCTGAACAACCACGGAGCCTCCACGAAAAATGGCGGCAAGACCGCCATGGGAAGGACGTGCTACAAAGTGCTTGGTATTCACTCGCTTCACTGGTGGTTGGTATCCAACGGCAATGTTCCATCCTTCCTGTTTCAGGAAGGGTAACAACGTAGATTGTGCAATCGAACCTAATCGAGTTTCTTGAAGAAATACCAATTGGACTGGAGTAGAACCACAACTCGACAAAGCAACAAGATCATTCCTGTGGCGATTACACGAAGAAATGTTGAGCGAAACGAAGCTAACCGTAGGACCTTCACCCGGGAAGCCCAGACAAGGAGAAAAGATGGAATAGAACCATAAATGGAAGGTATGATATGAGTCAATTTGGTGCAGCATCTGGCATGAAGAATGTCGTAATGACAGGATTTGATGGTCCACACTTCGGTGGCACTGGACATCCAAATAAGGTGGGGAACGCAAAAGCAAACCAACACTGTCTGTAATGTTGGAATGCGATCCTAAAACTTGCAGTTGAATTAGTGCGGCGAAGAGTGCAGCGCGACACTGTATCAGAATTTTGTGAGATCTTCGGCTCCGTTTGCGCCGTGCACTGCGAGACAGTGGCACGTGACAAGTCCCATGAACCAAGCCTTGACTACGACTATGTTTCAACCAGAACACACGTAGCACCTTAGGAGAAAACGTGAGCTGAAGATGCGTAGTAATCGCCCAAACAACAAAAAGTATAGGACATACATATATTAAGGCGACGGCGACAAGGCATGCAAGGCTGCAATGCGCTATAAGCAAGCTCAAGACACGAACTGCGGACATTGCGCGTCGATCCCATAGGCATAGAACAATGGATAACCACCACAAGTGCGGCGTCATCCATGGCCCTACCAGACCGTGAGCGATGTTGTTCAGAGTCTGGGGTGCTTATTCGGCGGAGACTGCTTTGAGGGTGGCGAATGGTTTTGCTGCGAACTGTTAGCAGCAGAAGACATGTTAGCACGAATCTCCGAGATAGCGGTGAGGAGCTCCTGGAAGCCGCGGTTTTGGTTGGATGAAATCTCCGGGAGCTGCTGCTTGGTGTCGGCACCGTCCTTTTTCTCAGCTTCAATGTCTTGCTTGAGGGTTGCCACCTGTGTCTCAAGTGCATCAACCCGGTCGGCGAACGGGTTGGGCAAAAGTGGGACAGCGGGCTTCGGGAACATCAAAGCACGTTCTGACAACAATGGACCAGAAAGACCATCACGTCCTCCTTTACCACTGCCTTTCACGTAGCCTTTGTGATTGTTTGGGGTTCTCGAAGACGAAGGCGGAATGGGAGCAATCATGCTGTTCTCCTTGCGGTTGAAGGTTTTACGCTCTACCTCAATGATCTGGATCACACCGGCGGAAGTCTGGAAGCGATTTGCTGATGGTGGTTGAGGCGCTGCCAAGAATACCACTGCGAGTTCTCTAAGGTTGACGATTCTTGAGGGGACTGCAACAAAGCCCAAGGTCTCCAATGTTTTGACGACGTCTTTCATGGATGTACCAGCAGGAAAACCAAGAACTTTGTACGGAATCACACACTTTGCGGCTATGTTGAAGGCGGAAAAGCGGTCATCACCTGGAAATACTGTCTCTCGAGCTTTCTGAATGTGAGCATCCTTCACGCGAAGGTATAACGAGCTTTGCGATTTGAAACATCCCAAACTCCCGGGAATCTGAGATAAGCGCACGGTAGTTTCGGCGAGGGATTCACTATCGGGGATCCGTAACACTTCAAGGTCAGATTCTGGAGCATCGTCTGGTTTGCGAACAGCTCGAAATTGAACTGATTTCAAACCAGAACGTTGGTGAACCGCATCGCGATGTTCAACAGGAACTTGGATTCTTCTACACAAGTAACCTTCACGATGCAAAAATCTTGTACAATACGCAGTTCCCAACCGTAGAATGATTTTCCAAGGTTTGTGTGACATAGTTGTGGAAGGCCTCAGGCGTACCGAATGCGGCCCAATCTGCACTAGAAGCATCAGTAGACCGGATTTCAGCAAACATCGCCACCCGTTCGATATGAGCAACCTCAACCGCAGCCACAACATCAGGTAGGGTGAAGAAGTCGTCTGAATCCCTGGCCAGATTAACCAGAGTGACTGCTCGCATTCTTCTGTATCTTGAATGACATCTCGCACGGTAATGGTTGTCGTCAAAACCCTGGCTTCATCGACTCCTAGCCTCAGTACTTTCAGTTTCACATACCCACGAAGAACAACCATGCACGCTGAGTCGGTTCTAATGTGCGAAATGTTCTCGAAGCTCGCAAAGGTGGCGAATGTGATACCAGCACTGGACTGATGAATTTGTTGTATCGGCCATGTGTCTTCAGGGATTGTCCTCGTAGTGATGGGCTGGCAGATTTCGCTTGGATAAGCAAGTCTCAACCCTGGTTGTTCTGGGGTACTCTCCCACCTAGCTCGCCGGGCACCTCCTCGTAAATGTCCGGTGACACAAAGGTGGCAATCTGGCCCCGGAAATGTATCAACTAGCCTATCCGAAGACCTAAGCAGCTTGGCAAACGAAGTAACCCGATCACCAGGTTGACAAAAGTCCTGTAGAATCTGCCCGATTGTAATGCCCGCATCGATGTGAATCAAAGACGTTGAGTTCTCCCTCCGAAGGAAAAGGTTAAAGCAGCAAGCGGAAGAAGGCACGTACATTGCGGGATGAACCATCTGAACGAATCCCAAGGATCCGAGACAACAATAAACGAGAATAAGCAACAAGAAAACCTTCATAATACCGGATGCTAGGAAGGGACCCTAACAGGTACAAGAATAGATGGGATATGCAGGGAAGCAATCAAAGCAAAGGCCGACTTGGTTAGAGTGTCCCTACTCCGTAATAGCGCCTACCACGTAAAGGTGTCAGCCAAAGGGAATGTCTGTGTCACGCCTAACTGCGAGCCACACGCATTATAGGGACCCTACTTTTTTGTAGGTTTTGGTAGGGTAAGGTAGGTTAAAGTTTCCTAGAATGAACCACTTGCGGAAGTACGGCAGGCCGGACATTATTGTCTACGCGGCGGTCTGCAACGTGAGCTCGACTTGCTTCCGACAGCCTCACCGTGCATATGAATGAGTGTGTGATTGGCAGCTTCAGAGTTTGGGGGCTTTCTCTTTTGCAGGTTGGGGCTTCGGCACGTAAGGATTTACAGTTTGAAGGTATTCAGGACACCCAAGTGGGAGTTTCCGAAAATTTAGGGGTACCTTCTTTTGGGGTCCTTCTAATAAGGATCCTACTGCTTAGGGTACTATATGAGGGTCCCCCTCTTTTCGGAAACGCCCAAACGACCCAAGACCCTCAAGACCTCAAGACATAATCGTGCCACTCCCGCCCTGAAGCCCTCCTAAACCCTAAACCTCTAAGCCCTGAAACCTGGGTCCTTTTCGGTACCGAAAACCATTAATATTGACCCTATACTAGGACCCTTAGGGTTTGCCATCCTGCAGGCATTAAGCTCGGCAAATGTTCGTTTAAAAAGCTCACAGCAGCGTTCTCAACGACGGCCAAAAAAGCGTGGCTAGAGCACGAGAACACTACAAAATGCTGACAGTGGTTTAATGCTTTTGTGCCCGTTTGCAAGCCTTTTTGGGATTCCCCATAGAGGGTCCATGTGCCCATAGATGATACTTTTCGGCCTTACAGTGGTCCCTATCGAAACAACATAGAAGTAGCTGATTGCGGGCCAGGTTTGGAGCGGAGATGCCAAGGTTGACGAGGAAGAAGGGGGCAAGGCGGGTGGGGGGGGAAAGGGGGCGGAGGGGAGGGGGGGGGAGGGGGAGGGGGGAGGGGAGGGGGGTGAAACCATAAACCTCTAAAGGGGTAGCTCTAACAGGTACCTACAGCAATGGCTGCATGCTCATACATATACATTCCGCTGCCCATTGGCTCACAGTGGTTTTACCATATTGAGACAAGACAAGCTCTCCTTGCGTAGCAAGACAAAACAACTACTGTCCGTGTGCAGGGCGCTGCCCTTTGATCCTTAGGGAATAACTGGTCATACACCTCCTCACAAGGAGTATCCCTTGGGGTGTATCGGCACAGTTTTCTGGTAGCGGAGCCCGGAAAGGGCCGCCCGCCTCACAAAGTCCGCTACAGCGGTCGGCCTCGCCGAACGCTTAACCAAGCGGATAAGAGGCAGCACAATGTCGAGCTCGCATAGCGAAGCCGACGGCAGTTCCCAATCCTCCGGGGGATATGAGAACGAAGAGACCTCCCAAGGTCCAGCTACTTATGTCGCACAGTCATATGCAACATCTGACCGCATGCTTGCATCATTAGGCATAACGCCCAAGATCGCGCCTGCCTATGATGGCACCACCTCGTGGTTTGAGTATGAACAGTTGATTGACGACTGGTGCGACATAACAACGCTGGATGACACCAAAAGAGGTCCGTCTCTCAAGACGAGGCTCTCCGGATTGGCCGCAGTACAAAAAGAATCACTTAACCGAGAAAGGCTTGCAGCCCCAGATGGAGTAGATTACTTCAAGAAGAAGATGCGTCCATTTTTCGTGAAAGGAGAACAGTACGTTTTCCTGTGGCGTTTCCTCGGCCTATTCAAGGCATGGAAGGGCAACCAAGACTTTGTGACTTGGATTGCTAAGTTTGAGATCGTGCTACAGCGCGTGAAAAACTCATGGATGGATCTCTTACCAGAGATAGCTCTGGAAGATGCCCATCCAGATTTCATGCAGGCTGTGCAGGCAGATCAAACCTTCTTGCGCCTACAGGATGCAACCGAGAGAGACACATACGCCGCACGTTTCTTCGAAACATGGAACAAGGAACGCCTTGATAATCATCGAAGAGCGTTTCCTCTAAATGATAATCTCCTAGCTCTCCTCTTCCTAGTGCAGTCCGACCTAAATGAGATGCAACGTGAGAGGTTGGTAACAGCATTGACCAACCAAGGTCACCGAATTGAGACCTATACGTACCCTGTGGTACGGCAGACCATGTTCGATCAGTTCTCAACGACCAGAACTGGTCTGCAGGATCCCAACATTCGGCACTCTTCTCACAAGAAGGACCGCCATGGAAGGAGAGATCAACGCCGCAAACGCGGAGGTCGAAACTTCCTCATCCTCGATCAGGGTGAATACGACGGAGTCGATGGATTCTGGCTCCAAGACGAAGACACCCTTGAGGAAGGCTTTCTTGCCGCCGAGGATGAAGAAGCTGTCTTCTGGACAGTTGACGACCATGAAGCCTTCGTTGCAAGGAGATTCAAAAAGGGAAGAAGACCAAGAATGCGTCCCGGATCACCGGGAAGAGCAAAGGGTGGCAAGCGAAAAGGACGTGGCCGTTTTAGGTCATACCGCGGAAAAGGGAGAGCCAACCAGGCAGAACATGATCCAACTGATTCCAGCTATTTCGGTAAAGGTAAAGGAAAGGAAAAAGGAAAAGGTGGAAAAGGCAAAGGAAAAGGAAAGGACAAAGGAGATAAAGGAAGCTCCTTCAAAGGCGCAAAGGCAAAAGGCAAAGGTAAGGATACAGCTAAGTCTGCCTCCTTACAAGGAGACCAAACTGGATCTCCACAGGCCTATGAAAGTTCCACCGCACCGAGCTGGGATTCATGGTATGAGGACAGTTATTATACTGACTCCAGTTGGAATTATGCCGCTTATGACGATCAAACGTCTTATACATACTATGCATCACAAGCCTCACGAAGAAAGACACGGAGAAAGAAGAGAAGAAATCAAGCAGGATCATCAGGTAGAGGCACAGATCCGAGCGCGCACCAAGAACCCGTGTACAACTCATCAGTGAGTTACGTGCCCCAGGTCTCTGAACCATCCGAGGGGCAAGGTGTGGAGACTGCAACAGCAGTGTTTCCGTTGCAGCACACCGTCCTATCTGCTCTCACAGAGCGGATCAATCTTGATAAGAGCCCTACCTTTGTCATACTTGACTCAGGTTGTACTAGGGCTATGGGTTCCCGCTATGCGGTGAACAGGCTTATCAAGGCCGTGAAGCAACATGCCCCAGGCATGATTGATTTCACTTTTTCACCTTCGAACACGAAGTTCTCTTTCGCAGATAGTGAAACAGCTCTTATCAAGGAGCGTGTAACTCTATGGTTCAACACAACTCCAAGAAGAGATACAACCATAGAAGTTTTGGATCAGGGAAGAGTCCCCATTTTGTTTTCCATCGAACAGATGAGGAATTTAAGAATGACTCTCGAGTGTAGTCCTACAGCTGACCTAGCAACGTGTGAAGCTTTCGGTTTGTATAAAACCCCTCTTCCGATTAGTACCAATAACCATTTGGTATTGGACCTTCTAGGCTTCACTTCCACCAGGAAGTATCTCCCTAAGTCAGGTACGTCGTTCAGTGCGACGGAGACTGCTCTAGGAGCCAAGAAGCCCTTATATTAGGATACCGGAAGGTCGCTGTCCAGCCTGTGCCGGACAGAAAAAGGCTCACACGTACCTCAAGGGTTGCGACAAAGCACCTGAGGGAGCAGCTGATCCACCACCGAAGAGGATTTCAGGCAAAAAGAAGCCTCTTCCATCTGATCCGGCAGAATCATCTGCCAAGAAACTTGATCCACCAGAACCATCTGGTGATGCTCCTGAGCCTTCCGGACCATCGGAACCATCATCAGGCTCTAGGGACAAACCTGCAGAATCCTCTGCACCACATGAACCTCCAGAAGAAGAAAGACTTGAGGTCCCACCTGCGAAGATAAAGACTCCAAAGGGTCTTAAAAACCTTTTGAAGAAATCCCGCAAATACGCGGTTAAATCTCCTGTTGAAGAGAAGTCTAAGGTCCCAGGAGCTGATGACGGGACGGAGGTAAGACCACTTGAGTCAAGAGAATACCCGGCTCCTGGTATAGACTCACCTACAGGTGAAGAGATTGTTGCGGAACCAACGCCATCTCTTCCCATTGCTCTTCGCAGGATTCATGAGAAGCTTAAGGACCCTGTAGAACTCTATAAGCTTCACCTTAAGCACCGTCATATGAGTACGGATCAGTTCAAGCGACGCACAAAAGCCTTACAGATCCCAAAGGAGATATACGAGCTATATGACCAACTGGTCAAAAAGTGTTCAGCCTGCCAGGAACATGTGAGAGCTCCTTCAAGAGCAAAGATTTCTGGTTTAAGATCAGAGACTTTCGGTGATCTCACCTTCGTAGATCACGGTGAGCTTCCAATTCCCGGCAAGGATAGTCGCTTAGTATTTCTTATTCTCTATGATGGAGCAACAAACTTGTTGACTGCCGAAGTAGTCCAGGATAAAGAAGAACATACTACAATGTCGATTATGAATGACTACTTTGAGAAATTTCAGATCAACCCAAAGGTTGTAGTTGGAGATCAAGCATTCATGACTCCAAAAATGGAGGCTTATTACAATCGGCAGAATATCAAGCCTGTGGCAACAGGACCTGGAACACCATGGCCCAACAGGGCCGAAGCTGCTGTAAGATTGCTGAAGCATCAGATTAAGCTCATACTTCAGATCCTGAAGGATGGTGACCCGCAGTATAACGGAATCACCATGAAGTATGGCAACCTCGTTCGCCAAGCATGTTTGGCAAGAAACTCTTCGATTACCTACGGAGGAGTTACTCCTTTAGAAATGGCCTTTGGAAGGCGTCCTCGAGATGTTATAACACCAGAGAACGCTGATCCCA